ACCGAGAATCCGAATATTACCGAAATATTTGGCAAATCATTATTGTTTCAAATCCGTCATTATTAAAAAATTTTTTGATGCAATATCTTTAATAATACTAAAAAGTAATTTGAATAAAATTAATTTAACCCTAAACGAAGAATTGGAATTGCCTCAGCCTTAAACCGGAATGGATGCAAATATCCGCGTCAGGTTAATCCCTTATAAAAGTAATTAAATGGGAAATGGAAAGATCGATCATCACATAATTAGAAATGTCAAATTCGGGAATAATAAATAATAATAACAATAATAATACATAACGGGAATATGTGAAGTACGTTTTTGATCATTTACATTATTATACATATTTATTATTTTAAATGCTAAATTTTATTGGGGCGTTGGAACATTTGGAATGTTCCATTGTGGATCCCAATTTATTTGCATGACATTTTGATTTAAATTTATTGGTTAATTTATTGAGTTACATTTGGAAACAATTAAAGGAATGTTCCATGTATCTGAATAAAACATATATATCCCTCTTAATAATTCGTTCCTTTTAGAAGTTATTTAAAATTACTTAAAAAAAAAAAAAAAAAAAAAATGTCTTCAGAAACAGAAGGACTTCTTTCAAATAATAAAAACAAAGCATTGGATGCAGATAATCTGGAAACATACAATTCACTAAATAATAACAGTAACATTAGCAATAATAACAATCATGCAATTGATGTTTATGATGATGATAGAGCTGGAAGGGTAGAAAATAAATCATTCTTTCGATCAATAATGTTAACGATACAATATTCAAGTTTAAATTTTTTATTAATATTTCTGCCTTTGGGATTTTTAGCAAAAAGTTTTAACTTGAGTGATACCTACATATTCACATTTAATTTCTTGGCAATTATCCCCTTATCAAAATTGTTAGGGTTTGCAACTGAAGATATTTCTCTTAGAGTAGGGCAAACATTAGGTGGTCTGTTGAATGCAACATTTGGTAATGCTGTGGAATTAATAATATCACTTGTTGCCTTGATGAAAGGTGAAATTAGAGTTGTCCAGTCAAGTATGCTGGGATCAATAATCTCCAATTTATTATTGGTGCTGGGAATGTGTTTTGTTGCTGGTGGATTTTATCATGATGAACAAGAATTTAATCAGACAGCAGCTCAAACAAGTTCAAGCTTAATGGCTTTGGCATGTGCTGGGTTGATAATCCCAGCAGCATTTAATTTTGCCATTGGAAGTGTTACTGATAATGCTACTACTAATGTGGCTTTTCTCCAAGAAGAAACAATAAATTTATCCCGTGGTGCATCAATTGTATTATTAATTATTTATGTGTTATATTTATATTTCCAGGTAAAAATTTTTTTTGCAAAAATATATATTATAAAATAAATAAATAAATTAATAAACAAATTATTCATTTATTTTTTTCCTTTAGTTAAAAACACATTCAAGATTTTATCTTGAAACAGAAGATGAAATAGAAGAACCAGAATTTTCACTTTGTTATTCATTATTTTTACTTGCATTCATTACACTCCTTATTTCATTCTCTGCTGATTTGTTGGTTGGATCAATTGAAGGAATTGTTGAACGATTGTCACATATGGTAAATTATGATACATGGGATCAACTGTTGAAGATTACCTGGCGACTAAATATTGCACC